TATGGAGACTTTCAGTGCGCTAATAATTAATGGTATATGACAAGATGACTTTGATGCACGTAACAGCAAATCTACCCCTCAGTTTGCCTCAGCTTGGTGGAAGGGCATCCAAAGCAGACATAAATCAAATTGCCGTAATGCAGAGGAGGACAGGATGTACATATCCTTATGTTTTGGACTACAGCTTCCAGGATTTCTGACCATTGGCCATGCCAATGGGAGTTGACGGCTAGAACAGAAGTGCTGGGAAAGGCTAGACAAGATGGCCAATAAACCCCTCTTCAACTTCGTGGTTTTAATGGAAAGCAAACCAACCATGAATCCTGCAACAACACCAGTTCAGAAAAAGATTTGGGGAAACTAACAGAACTATTACACACAGGCAATTAAGGTGCGATTTCAGCAGGTATGTATATCCAGATTATCATTATCATTATCATTATTATTAGGTTTTATTAAGTGGTATCTGCTCCATTTTCCAATGGCTTTGCCACAAGTATAAGCACCAAGAGTTGAGAATAGCAAAACCTAAAAATACTTATGTTTCGAGCTACTACATTTTATTTTCCACACCCTTGTTTTTCCTGGCTCAGCAGTAGCACTGGAAAACTTGACTTAATTTTTAAAGGGTGCCTTAAAAACTTCAGAACTTTGAATATTCAGAAATTATTCTTCTACTTATTCTTCCTGAATAATGGACTGCCAAATTCCTCGAGCCAAATGTAAACACTTCCTCAGTTCTAATTTTAGGAGTAACTTCCTACTGCTTGTTGCTAAGCATGTTAACTGTCAGCAAACCTTTTGCATACTAACGCTCCCATACCAGCTCCCATCCTGGCCAATGACATCTAGGAATGATAAGAATTGTGGTCCAACACATCTGAAGACCACTCGGTTGGGGAAAGCTGCTTTAGGTGAACTGAGGTATTTCCTTGCATTTTTTAGCATTCTTCCCCATTGCTGTCTAATCAGAGTTCTCAAATTTTCTTCTATTTTCCACCTTACTTGCAGCAGCTGGCAGATCGACAATTCTGGTTCTCCAGGTCTGTAACAGCTAACCATGTCGCTATTCTAATGGACCATTAAAGCAGAGCTCTTCTTCACCAGGTTACTTTTACAGGTTGGTGGAACACCCTATCAGGGCAGTTGTTTTCAGAACAGCAATACAGGAAATCTTGAATCCCTTCAACTGTAAGATCTGCAAGGGTGGATAATGCAATTTTCCCTTGCAACATCCTGCTACAGGAGAATATTACTGTACTGTTTCTAGGTCACACTTGGAAACACATGAAACCTAGGCTGACCTATAGCCCACATGGACTGAGTGTGCCAGAGAACATAACCCAGAGTCCAGTACAACTCGAGATTCCCTGACAGATGGTCAGTTTCCCTCTGCTGAAATTAATATGGAAAAGATGTGACTAGGAGGCCACTGCATTAAAGTGGACTTTTAGGAATGTATTTTAACAGACTAGCAAGTCAAAGGATGGATTTGGCTATCCTTGAAGTCCTGTTTTAACATGTCTTTTTCTGCAGCAATTTGGTACAAAAAAGGAAGAGGAGAAGGAGGAGGGAAGAATGGAAAAATACCTTTATAATCAAAAGGAAAAACATCACTTGACTTGAATATCATACATCAACCTTCCTCAACCTGTGCAAGACTATGATGTCCATCACCCACAACGTGATTGGAATTGTTATCTAGCATACCCAGAGGGTGCCAAGTTGGGGACAACAGGCATGGACATAAAACCATTCTCAAAATGGCTCCATCTATTGTACCAGGCCAGGGTAAGGTGGGGGAGAAAAGCACAGGCTTGGGGGAATTACATGGTCTGAAGAACCACAAACAATCTTTAAGGCAAAAATCCTTGGAGAAGGGAGAAGCCCCAAGGACAGCCCAATGAGACCTGAGCATGTTCAAAGGGCATCAAATACTGACAACTGAGGGAAATAAAACTGGAAAACTGGAGAGAAGGAAGAAGGAATTGAACTGGAATTTGGAACAGATGCATGCCACAGTAGAACACTTTTATCTTATTTTATCCCATCCTGTTTTTGTAGTATTTTAGCCAGTCTTTGATTATATAAGAATGCACTACTGTTTTATGTCATCAAGGGTTCAATCCTATGCATGTTTTGGCAGAAAGACGTCCTGCAACTCCCACCATGCTCTAGTCAGCATGGCTGGGGAATGCTGGGAGTTGTAGGACTCTTTTTCTGACTGAACATGCACAGGACTGTTATGGCTACACACAGCAGGGTCACTCTCTTGGCTACCAGACAGCAAACTCCAGGAGTTCCACAGAAATGAAAAATGGCTAAATATTAATTTTAATTAAAATGGAATATAAAGTTATCCTGAGTTTAAACTTGAGGGAGGTAATCTAACCCTCAGAATATATTTACTCCAGACAACCAGGATCACCTGTTCCAGCCTGAAATCTAAACAGGTTTATTGAAGTACAGCCTGTGCGATACGTTAAACAAAGGCTGAAGGTTGTTGAGGCACATGAATGGAAATAGAGTGGAGGGGAAAGAAACGTGATTTAACAAAATGGGATATTGAGACATTCAACCTGTTAGTAAAAATAATGCAATGGGGAGTGTGTTTACAACCCATTTGTACAGCCTAAGCTCAAACAACCTGACAACCCACACTCAAGAGTTGAGTATATGTTGTTGAACTGAGGGGTTTGTTGAAACTTGGGCTATCTTTTTGTGTCAATTCAGCTAAAATAGCAAGACATGTCTTTTTAACCATGAATAAGCCATGAAGAGAACTGGTCTGCAGTGGGTGCTTCACCCACTGTTATCCTGGCTGTTCGTTATCCTGGTTTGGTTCAAACAACAAAGTTCAACAATATTCTGCCCCCTACCCTCTTGTGTGACTTACTATATTATCTAAAACAGCTCAGTATCTTTCAGGATCACCATACAACCCCTTTATGCTTGCACCCATTTGCCCTTGCACCCACAGACTTGTCAAACACACAGGACTGTTGGGCATAAATGGTGTGCATTGTGAATGTACATTACTGTGCTTGGGGGGGGGACCATGCTCCCACAAATCTTGACAACTGATGCAGTCTGGCGTGCCTGCACACGGCTGGCTCCTGCTGAAGAGACTCTGCAACCCTGGGGACACACAGGGAAGATTTCCCAGCTATGTGAACCAGACTTCCGTCAGCTTGAATTGGGCTCATGCAGTCCTACATTTCGGTTTTGTAACTTTGACTAAGCCACCTTGGACTGTCCTGAAACAACTTAGTTGCTCTCTGTGTGTATGTACTTCACCATTTTTCCTTTGGCAAAGGGGTGCTCAACCTTTCTGGCCCATGCTGGCTCAGGGTTCAATGCCCAGACACAGACCCATAAACAGGCATCAGCATACATGTATCTCAGTGATGTACAGATGGCTCTTTCTTTACCGCTAGCAGCAGCCAGGAAAGAGATGTCTGTATGAGGACTACTGAGGAGTGGAGAGCCCTTCTGTCACCCCAGGAATCCAGAGACAGAGAGCTCTTTCTTCATTACTGCTACCAGCTAGAAAAAGCCATCTGGACTGCATGGGGAAGAGGCCGAGAGAAGGCTAGCCACTGGTGACAGCAGAAGTGGTAGTAGCAGCCACAACTACCCTAGTACAATTGATGGCTGGTGGAGAAATTGGGTGGTGGCAGGATCAAGGCACCCTCACTTCTTGGTGGTCAAATGCAGCCCCTGGAGTGGTGCATCCTTGCTTTAGGCAATGGGCATATTGTAAATGTGGTATAAATACACCTACCACCTCCATCATATGCATCATGTCTCCAATGTAGGGGCAAATGCTTAAGAAAACTTATGGCATAGTGAACCAGTAGCCAACCTAAAAGTGTAATCCTGTGCATGTTCAGACATCATATAGCTCGTGGCTAGGAAATGCTGGGAGTTTTAGGCCTTATTTTTGTCTTAAACATGGGAGGATTATGCCTTAAATGGCATCCTCCTTATTAAAAAGTTATGGTTTAGCCCACTATGGCTTACAATTGCTCCCTTTGGGAAATTTAGCACATGCAAACTGACCTATTCTCTCCTGGCTAAGGCACAGCCTTAAAGGCATATTTAGTGCATGCACCCCTGAAGCACAGATGTCACCCAGAATCCTGTTATAACCTCACATAGAGCCTTATAACAGTTGAGCAACATCATCCTTCACAAGCTCTTATTTACAGCAACAGCTATAGCTGTGATGCACAAGAAAAGAGAGACTGTGCCAAAAAACAAACAGATTTTCCCAATTTGGAGGAATACTGTCAGTGGTCAGGAGTTAAAGCCACCAACACAGTTCGGACACTTCTTAATTATGAAAAACACAAGATAATTTTAGCACCTGTAGCAGCAGGAAGTAGAACTACCATAGATGCTCAAATGAGAAATCATAACCAATAGTGCAGCAGCTAAGACAGAAGTCCTACATGCACACTTTCCACGGGGTAAATCCCATTAAATACAGTGGGACTTGCTTCTGAGTAAATACGTGCTGGATAGCATCCTAAGGAGAAGCCAGCCAGTTTAATGAACCTCTAGTTGAAAGTAATTCCTACTGAGTTCAGAAGGTAAATGTAAGGTTATTAGGGATTAGACAGTGGGTAAACCATGCCCTCTACACAGAAAGTCTTCCATTATTCCACATACACTTAAGTATCAGGTAGCATCATTTTTAATGACTAGCCGAAAGAGCACTTCGATCTCTCTCCACGATTCCAGGGCTAAGCTTTAACACTGAATGCCATTTCTAGGGAGAAGCATTTTAAAACACTGTCTTTTAGTATACAAAAACCCTCACCCCGTGCAAACTTATTTTCTTACCCCTGCAGATCTAATTTCCCTCCACGCCATCCTCCCTCAACTTCGTCCCGAACAGAACCTTAACGCTCAGGCGCGGCAGAGCTGAAAGCGCCCCTGAGCATGTACAGAAATTTATTTTGTCCCGACGGGAAGCCCACGAAAGGAATGTTTACCTCGTCCCCGAAGTGCACCACCTTCTGGCCCGTGTTGAGGCGCAGGTTGGGGTAGCAGACCGGGGGCGGGGGGCCTCGGGCGGCCCCGCGATGCGCCGCGTACCGGGCCTGGACGTGGGGCTCCACCAGGCTCTTGTCGATGATCTCGTCCTGCTGGCGGGGCGGCAGCCGCTCCCAGTCGGGCCCGTAGCGCTCGCGGATGCGCTCCTTCTCCGCCATGATCTTGCGAGCCATGGGACTCAGGGACGAGAAGTAGCTGAAGCGCTTACGCTCCCGCTCGTCCAGCGGCCGGTTACTGTTCATGACGGCCGTGCGGGACGCCGCGATCGCCGCCGCCATGGAAGCCATCGTCGCCCGGCCGCCGCTCGGGGACTCGGTGCGGGCGCGGAGGAGAGGGGGGCGCGAAGGGACGCCGCCACTGCCGCGCCCTCCGGGCTCTTCTTCCAGCAGCCCGCCTCCCCGGAGCCTTTTGCTTTCGCTCCGCCCGCTCCTCGCCCGGCCCGAGACCCGCCTCCCTTTCTTTCTCCCGGCTTTTCCTCCGCCCCTTAAAAGAATCGAGCCGGGCGTACCGTATTAATGCTGCTTTTATGCATATGGGGGTGAACGGCGCTGCCGTCTCTTGAAAGGTTTCCGGCCGTCGCTGTCGTTTCCCTTAATTTGTGGGGTGATAGTAGTGCAGCAGATAATTGCTTTTCGTTGTTTTAAATTGCACATTTTGTTTATTTATTTAAAACATTTTTATTTACCGTTCCTATTTAGTCTTAGGACGGTTTACAGTATTAATTTTGTTCTGAGCCGCCTGGAGTCTGAGAAAGCTGTCCAATAACTATTCTCACTGCTACTACAGTCAATATCTTGTAGCTCTGACAATTCAGAAAGAGATTTCAAAGCTTAATGTGTGTAATTATGTATTTTTGCAAGTCTTTAGCGGATCTATGTTGATGATGTAATGGGACTGGCCATGCCAAGGAGAACATATTCTTCTGCAGATAGCCAAATAATAGTGACAATAGCACATTATTTTTTTATTACTCCCTTTGAACTGGATCCTGCTCCACTAAAAGCAGAGCTGGGAAAGATTTTAAAAAGAGCAACCTAAAAGATTGACAGGCTGCAGAAATTTCCACGTAGAGAAAGAGTACAAGGTTTCAGGCTTTCTAGTTTAGAAAGAAAGCAAGTACGTGAAGGACGTGATAGAGGTGTCTGAAATTATGCATGTGGAGAAAATGCAGAATAGTAAGTTTCTCTATTAGAATCCAAGAGTGGGAAGGAGCCCGTTAGACCAGTAGTTTTCAACCTCCCACAGCTGGGGATCAGCAAAAACAGGAAACAGGAAAACCATCTCCAGGACTACAGAGCCAGAAATGAAAAGCACCTTACACATAATGTATTATGTGTATTAGTTTCCAAACACAATGCCGAAAGGAAGGAAGGAAGGAAGGAAGGAAGGAAGGAAGGAAGGAAGGAAGGCCTTTAAAACAACCAGAAACTGAGCAACAAAAAATACCAACAAAAGAACAACATACCGACATTGGCACAGCGTGGTTCTAAGCCAGCTCCCACCAAGCCGTCTCTCCCCACCCCCAACAAACACGATGCCAACTGAGGAAGAGATGGTGGAGAACAGCCAGCCCCCATGCCAGTCCATAGTGAGCAGAATGCAGCCCCCCATGGACTGGCAGAAAATCTCCCATGGACTGGCGCTGGGCTGCAGACTGGTGGTTGAAAACCACTGCTTTAGGCTGTCAAACCCAAACCTCTGTCAGTGAAGGAATCCAATTCAAAACACCCACACTGACGGCTGCCCAGAGTCTGCTTGAGCACTTCCAGTGAAGGAGAGCCCTCCACCTTTGTAGTCTGGTTGCTCTGGCCCACAGGAAATTTTCCCCAAGTTCAGCTGAAATCTGCTTTCCTGAAATGCAAGTCTCTCTGTGGGTGCTTGTCCTGGTGTCTTGGATAACAAAGCACAGTTGTGTTCCTCTTCTGTATGACAACTCTGTGTACTCCAGCCACCTTCTCAAGGCTGATCAGACTCAGGGCCTTCCATCTTTCTTCATAAGACTTTCCCCAATCATCTTTGTTGTCATATAAAATCTGTCATCTCATGAAGTTGAGAAATAGGAGATTCAAGAGGAAAGTACTTCACACATATGGGATTTGCCTCTGCAAGATGGCTTTGAGCAAGAATCAGCCAAAGTCTTGAAACTCACATTGCTAACAGGTATGATGGCTGGAGGAAATATGCCTCTGAGCACCAGCTGCTGAGGAATGCAAGCAGGAGTGGGATGCTGTTGCCAAGGCATCTGGTTAGCATTGCGGAAAAGAAGACTGGACTACCCAGGCCTGCAGTCTGATCCACCAGGCATCATCTTACGCTTTTCTTTACCAACTGAGAATAAGTCCCACTGAATTCCCAGGTGTGGGTTTCACCCAGGCTGTAAGCCCACACAAGGAAAGGCAGGGAGAGACCACCATATATAGGCAGAATCGAACCAATTGAATTCAGGCATGAGCCAATAAGCCTTTTTGTTAAGAACTTCTGTGGCAACCCATAGTACACCAGTTTGTTTCAAGCCCCTCTTTTATCCATATTGTCCTGTATCATTCCTTCCTACCCACATCCCAAAATGATTGTCTCATTTAGTGTGGCAGCAGCACCCATTGGAATAACATAGTGAAAGAGCTTAATTCAGGGTAGGGATGCAACAGCAGCAGTGGCAAAAATACAGAGATTGCTTCCCAGCATTCACCTGCACAGGTGAACCTATTGCTTGGAATCAAGAAAATGCTTTAGGCCAGGGTGGGCAACTGGTGTCCCTCCAGATGTTTTGGACTGCATCTCCAGTTACCCTCACTGATTGTTTGCTGGCTAGAGCTGATGGGAGTTTTGTTCCTGCAGATGTTTTGGCCTATAAATTTCCCACTCACACTTTAAACCATTTCTAGAAATCAGAGATAAGAGAAAGATTTGCATGCCCAGAAAAGATTGGTAGGGTAAATGGATTGCTTAGATTGCTTCCAAAGTTAATTCTACTTAAATCCACTGAAACGACTTGGGCCTAAGAGTGACATTGGATGCAATACCCTATAATTTTATCAAGCTTTGACAAAACAGAAGAGGAATATGTTTTGGGGCATGCTGCCAGTTTAATACTGCATTGTCTTTTCCTCATTTAATGATCATGTAGCATGACTGATGATTACCCAGACAGAAGTTCTGCAAAACTTAGTGAAAGTTCACCACCACATGCAAGCAGCAAACACAGCATTCCTTTCTTCGATGTTCAATGTGAAGCCAGAAGTTCTTTCTCCAGTTAAGCTGTTCTTATCTTTGTCATAAACATTGTATGCCGTCCATTAATCCTAGATTTCTCTAGGATTAGTGGGTGGCATATAAATTTAAAAATAAATCAATAAATAAAATACAACATCCTATGTGTCTACAAAGCACACAGGGCCACTTGGAGGGAGCCTTTAAAAATGCATATTCCTTTTATTTGTAGGCAGATACAATTCTACATATCTAGGAAGACCCAAAAGTATGTAACTGTTTTTTTTTTTTTTTTGGATCACTACTTTTGCTTCCAAATGTGTGTACAAGTGCAAGAGACAGGAAGATTGCAGGGGAGTTTGAAAAAGAGAGAAGGCAGTTGCATGATGACACCCGGGGGGGGGGGGCTTGTGGGAATACCTGATCCTTATCATGCATCTGTGTTGCTTCTGTAATCATTATTGGTCTATTCTTGGTCTAGTTATAAAAAAGAAAATACATTTCTATTCCATTTAATAGCCAGAGTTCTTTGGTTTGCTTACAAAAGATGAAAAACTTAAAATACAAAGGAAAACAATGGAAAAAAATCTACATACATAACAGGACACCTAACTGCTTAAAACAATTACAGAAGTGCCTGTGGGTGGGGTGGGGTGGGGTGGGGATGGGGGAGAACTCTAATCCAGCAAATCTAGTAATTAAGAACAAAAGTCTAAAACCAATAATTGCATTTGGTCACTGCTGTTTCTATTATTCTTCTGGACTTCCCCTTCTCCTTCCAGGTTAAAAAAAAGGTTTGCTGGTCTCCAAAAGCCTTTCTCTTGTTTAAAATAAATGCGGTATAATACTTGGCAAGTCAAAATACCACAATAAGCTGCCAGGTACTGTATATAAAGCCCTTTGCAAATCCTTGATACCTGGCTAATAATGGTGTAAAACAGGAGATTCTCTCATGGAAAAGTATGAACACTTTAAAGTTGAAATCAGATATTGCTGAGTGTTGGACAGTGATTTTCTGGAATATATTAAATAAATTTCCACTTATCTGTGGTGAGAATGTAGTAGGGAAATTCCCCTTCTACAGGAAAGGTTGCTTTAATACCCTTTGCACCTTATACTAAATATGAACAAGAAGTTGTATACTTGTCTGATACACACAAAACATTTCAGAAACCTAGTTTTATTGCCTCTGAAGATAAAAACATGTTTGGCTTATTTAACACAAGTCACAGACTGGTTGATGGACAGTTGAATGTACCTAGTTTCTGCTACCTTGGCAGAACCTGTTCTGTGATAACTCATGCCCTAAACAAGGGGTGGGGAAAATTCAATTCTCCGGGTTCCCCAGATTGCCTCATCCCTTTTCCCCCAAGGGTAGGGAGTGTCAGAAGTCCTTTCCTGGCTTTTGTGCAATTTTCCCACCCATTCTAAAAATTTGAAATGTCTCTGCAAAGACTTATTTATTGGCAGTTAGGGCTTTTTTTGGTCGTTGGCCCTTCCTCCTTTCATCTCCTCCACCACTGAAATGTGGTTCCACTGTGCTTTTCTGAAAATGAACTCTGCCCTTGGCCAGAAAGAGGAATCCCACATCTGGTTTAAACAAATCAACCTACATTCAAAAACTTCCAGATAGTTTTTATGTTGGTCTGTAACCAAGCCTAGTACATAGCTAACCACTGAGCTTTTCAGAGAACCACTCATCTCCTAGACGTTACCTTTGAAATTATTGTAGATTTAGGACACTATCCTATGGCATGTAAATATTCATAGAAGTCGGAGTCCCTCCTTCAGAAACACACTCAGAAGTCAGAGCTGGGACTCCAACTTTGGAGTACCGTGTCTGGCTTTGTAGGCAAGACAGTTCCTTTTGCGTTGCCTGTGGCTCCAAACTGGAGGGCCAACCTCAGGGCCAGTGTTCTGCAGATCTTCAGGGTATGAAGTATCCTGGAAGCACCACCTCAGTTTCCCTGCCCTGTGCTCCAGGGCAAAAGATGTAGATGGCCAAAGTCAGCCGCCTAAGTCTTTGTCAGGGCAGAAGTGCAGGGGCAACCTTTGCTCCTTCCATACTCCATAGAATACCCATAATCCTCTAAGTTTGGCGAGTTGCAAGTAGCCACATTGCATTCAGTCAATAAACTGAATCAATGATCACTGCTAATCA